AGAGATCTTCATGAGCATTGCGTCAAAGCAAGACCACTCAGTTTCATCACCACCAGCCTCTAACTGCAACTATGCCTCTTAAGAATCTAAGGAAGCACCAAGAGTATACTTAGATCAATGTTTTAATTTTGTTCTAATGATTGTAAAAAGTGAGATTTTCCAAATTATTTGTTATAAATTCTCAACTTTTTTGATTCTACTTGAGTTCTACTCGTATTTAGTTGTGACATTGTGCTTTCTTCTTTTTGCCCATCTCGCTAGGAAATCCTAGCGAGAGTTTTTTTAATTCTTATTATATAAATATGACTATTGTGGCTAGCATGCAGGACTACGTTAGTTCTAACACGCATTTTTTTCAGCTTTAGTTTATATGCCTAAGTCACTCTAACTGTACATCAAAAAAGAATTGCAAATTAATAATTTTCTACCTAATAATCCAAAACAGTATACATGAACTGATGTCTCTCCTTGATCAAGAGTTTCCTTGACCTGAGGGGTTTAGCTGCACAAGCTCCACAAACTAAACTTTTATTCATAAGCAGTTAATGGGAACTCTTCTTTACTGAGCTGTTTTCATTAGATGCAAATCTATTCTGTGAGGTCCCTCAAGATTGTATACGGTTCAGGGCCCAAAATGCAGTAAAACAGTGAGGGTCTCAAGGTTTGATCAGAGACTTAATGACAGTCTCGCCTATGAGAATGACACTTACAACACTTTGGGGGACCATTAATAGGGTTGCAGTGGACAATAACTCCTTGCAGGCACTTCCACTCCCCAATGTCTGCGCTACTTTTACGGGCTAAACAAGAGGAGGTAGATGGGGAGTAAGAGGGGAGGACAAGAGCACTGGAGCACCGGCATTCTTCAGCCTCCTCAAAGTCAGCTAGGCAGCTATTAACCTTGGATTGGACTGCATCAAGCAAGAAATTATTACGGCAAGTTATAATTTTATGGTGGTGGGGGAGAAGCACAAATAAATTCAGGCCGGTGGGACAGGGTAATTGGAGGGCCTGGTAATAGGGTCCCCCCCAAATGAACCTAGGTGTAAGAGGAGAGAAGTTCCAGTCCTCCTCCCCCAGGTGATTTATCCTTCATTCTTCCAAGCCTGGGGAGTGACTCATAGCCTTCAGCCACTTGGGCACTGAGCCCAGCACTTTTTAATTATGTGCCAGTGGTGGGAGGAATTAAAGCAAGGAGAAGGAGAGAAGGGAGATTTGTAAGAGGAGGGGGCAATGGAGGGATGAAGCCAAGTCGGCTTGTGGCTCTCACTTCACGGGCTTCACCACTAAAGCTCTTTAGCCGCACAGATGACAGTAAGCAGGACAGAGGAGTAGCGAGCGGGTGAGAGGTGCCAAGCTCGGCCGCTTTATCTCGTTAGCAGCCTTAAATGCCATGCCGAGGCGCCCTCCGATCTGTCATTTTCGACTATTGGTCTCTGAGGGATTTGAGAGGTGCTCAGCGAGTTAAGAGAGACATTTCCACCCTGCATTACGCTTAATGGGAGGTGGAGAGGCCAGCAGGCTTATGGATGCAGCAGAAGCTATCAGGGCTGAAATGCCAATTGAAAAAACATTTTTCATGCGAGTTCAAACTCACCTAAGTGAGCTAACCAGTGTTGGCCAGAAAACTTATGCAGAATGGAAAAGAAAATGAGCTTCATGAATAAAACAAGCCACACAGACTGGGCCCACGATTCAGCTGTAGGGTCATCTGAAAGAAGATGACCTCAAGGATGAATAATGATCGCCTTTAGCTTTTCAAGCTCAGGATGCCCTTTGACATCAGACACATTTAAATACATATTAACGACTGGTGGGTTTCTGCAAAACAACACATTGTAGATGGGAGAAAATAGAGCATCAAGCAACTTCACTCTTTAAAATTCCTTCATTAGATTTAATGAAATGTTGACCGTTGTTTGCATGAGACTACCGGTGCCTTAGTTTTAGCCGGTGGCAAATTTGAGGAATGTCACAGACTATATGTTGGCTTGTTAATATAACAAAGGAATCATGAATGTTAAAGTAAGGACATTACTGTACTGTACTTATTGTAGTCCAAAATAAGCAAGAACTTTAAGTTGTAACGCATTTAATGAAAAGAAAAATACTGTATATGCATGTTTTTAGAAACTAATCTAACAGTCACTGCAGAGCAAACAAAAATAGTCAGAATGCTGCCTCTCTAGTCATTATTTATTTCTTAGAAGTCTTCTTAAAAGTAGTTCTTAGTTCCAAGACGTCTTCCCGTGACCAATGCTAACTCAAAACAGAGACAGATATTAACAGCTTTTATTTTCTCATTAATTCCTGTTCTTTACTATTGTTGCATGCTAATATGCTTTTGTTAATCAGTTAAATCCTTAATTGTGTCACACTTGTTGAATAGTTTGCAGGATTTTGGCTAAGAAGAACAACTTACTGATTTGAGCTTAAAAGACACAGAGGAAATATATGAAGCTACCAACAACGTGAAACAGGAAATCACACAGAGAGACTAGGACACATTGTCACCATTCCCAAAAGGCTCCGTATTAGCGTCGCTACACAGAACTTGGACTGAACCATGAAGGCATTCAGTGCCAGACTATTTTCACACTGAAGTCGGCCAGAAAATAGGCTCCCTCTTTTTAAGGCACACATAACGCTTCTTCTTACTCAGAGAGCTAATTATTTCTTCTCCTGTTTAGAGCCAACTGTTACTGTCATCTGTCTCCGTAATGACCTCTGCAAGATGTGCATGTACGCACATGCAGCCTTTCATTCTGTTTCCTTTACACACTTTTAGACACACCAACGGGTTTACAGCCCCAACAATCAGACAGAAACAGAAAAAAAAAAACAGATGAATGAACACAAAGGATCCTTTAGATCGTCTTTTACTGTAGACAGCACATCTGAAAAAGAGGGTGCACATATGAAGACAAACTGAAATAAATGATTTAAATAAATGGCATCAATTTCAATCAGTACAGGAATAATTTATTAATTAACTATGTAGATGGGCATAAATTTAAAATCAAATTGCTTCCCAAAAAGATCATCATAACTGTAGAAGTTCTAAATATAAATATATATAAATATAGTTGTACTTTCCTTCTGTTTTGTCCCTGTACAGAAATTATTTATACACAATCTGACATAAACTGGATTTCAACAATGTAATTTTGTGCTATTTTAAGAGTGAAATTAGGCTAAAATTCACATCCGCTGTCTTAGTTTCTCTTTTTTAAGAAATGTTAAATTTCTTAAATTTAACATGAATCTTTGCAAATTATCATTTCAGGCTGTGCATCTACACCACAAAAAAAACAGAGCTACAGTTCCACTGCAACAGAATTTCTTCCATTATACCCTTCCTACCCTTCCAAGCAGCCTGTTTTCATTGGCTGCTTGGAACACTGAGTCATGTAGCAATACCTGTCCCCTACATAGTGTTGCAAGCTGCTGGTCAGCTGCCTGACTAAAAATCTGCAAGCTGCCGGTCAGCTGCTTGTCTGAAAACCAGCATACAAGAAATATGTCTGTTTAGAAATACTCAGTGTTGTGAAAAATGCAGAATAAGGTAATGTGTAAACTACGAGAGTACCGGTTATTCTCATTCTACGTGGAAACGGGCCATTAAAGTGGTGCAGGACAGGTACGAGAACTCTGAGACACCAGTGAGGTGTGCTTTAGGAGTGACAGAGGTGGGACTTTATCAAGGACCTGCTCTATGTTCGTTCTTGTTTACTTATGTGATGGACAGACTAACAGATGTCTCGATGATTATTATGTTTACAGATGACATTGTGATCTACAAAAAAAGAGGACACATGTAGAAGAACAGATAGAAAAGTGATGGTATGTATTGGAAAAAAAGAGGAGTAAAGATTATATCTATATATAACTAATATCAAAATCAATAAAAGCTTCACAGATATATATTTTTTTTAATTTAAACAAAATTAAAAAACCCATACAACCCTGTCTTGTATGAATGGGCAAGGTTGACAGTGGCAGTTAATAGTGTGGAAAATATGCTTTTGTCATTGTTAGGGTTCCTTAGATGCTTACTGACTTACAAAGACAGGCCATTTTTTGATGGCCATGTTAACCAAAATAATGCCTCTTGACAGAGCTCAAACCATCTCAAACTGGTTTGTTGAACATGCTTCAACGGTCACTAGCTCTTAATCAAAAATCACCTTTGGATATGCAGCTGACAAATATGTAATAATGGGATACTCCGAGAAATGTTTCAAACATCTTGTTGACTTTCTCACAAAGAAGTAAAGCAGCGTTATGGGAGTAAGAATTAAGAGGAAATGAGTGTTCCACCTTTTAAAACAGGTGTATAAACTAGGACAATATCTCCGAGAAACAGACAGAAGAGAAAAATCATTCCATAAGTATAAGAACGATTTATGGGGCCAAACACAAGGAATACGACTCAACTTTAAAACCTAAGATGACACCAAATTATTTTGACTTTGTCCAAATTCATAAAGCAGTGTATAACTCTTATAACTGCTGCGTGTATCAACAATACCTTTAGTTTCCAATGGAGAAAATTTACTTTATGCCAAGTTTTCCATAAAAATGTAAAATTATATTCTTACTTGATTGTCAAATTTTAGAGACTGTGTACCCACGAGGAAGCGAATAGCATCAGTCTCAGCTGTTTGGGCCGTAAGTGCACGAGCCTGCAAAACAATAATAATATGTCAGTGAATAGGCGACTAGTAGAATTAGGCGACAGAAATCAGGTAATACCTACCTGAAACTCGAGACCATATATGACAGGGGCGTCGTCTTCCATCTTTCACCTTGTCGCCAATCGTTTCTTATCCTTTGAAAACCGATTCAATGAATAATTACCTTAAAAATAACTGCATTTGAACCGTGCAGCTAAAAACAAACGACAGTAGCATCACTTCCGTGATTTAAGACAAGCGTATAGTTACATTTCGTAAAAACAGCCTGTCAACGTTGCTCCGCGCTTTTTATTTTACGTAAAACAATTTCAAGAATAGTACTGTGTCATCTATGACGATGCTTTTTTGCGCGGCACATGCGCATTACGTTTTCATCCGTCAGTTGCATTGAGGTAAGAATATAGCAATGTGTTTTACCTTTCGGTTTATTTTCTGTATTTTAGTCTTGTCGGACTACAAATGCAATTTGTTGCGTTTATTGAAAAAGCGTCGGCGGCCGTCAGCGAGGCACCAAATAGCGGTTAAGTGAGGGTAAAATATGGTGAATAGCCGGCTAATGTAGCATTAGCCCAATTGCTATGTCAAGAGAGAAACACTTTGAATCATACCCGCATAACAACATAAAACAACGTACACTAAATTTACTTCTTTATCTGTATGTCAGTGATAATTATATGTTTTGTAGCTCTTAGAGTTTGTACTGACAGGAAGTCAAGGTTTTCAACTTCCTGAAAGGAAAATAGGGAACATAAGACAAGGGAGCCCTAGGTTTCCTACCCACATCATTAATAATCTAGAAACTAGGCATATAGAGTTCTATGTAGACGTACTTCTCGTTAAATTCAAAGATTGTCGGAAAGCATATTTCCGTAAAATTGGAAAAACACATATTGCATATGTTACATACAAAGCGATACATTTAATTTATTCGTTTGTCCTTTTTATGATGATTGTCTTTGAAAGCAAATGAAAACTTCCAAGTTCCGTTTTTCAGAAAATTAGAACATTATAAGACCAATACAAAAAGGACGATTTTTATTAAGAAATGTCAACATACACAGCCATGGAAAAGACTGGTGACTATACAGTTGTGCAGTGGACAATCAATGGCAAGGCGGTTGTTTCTAAAGTTGTTTCTAAAGAAACAAGTTTATCACCTTGTGCTTCCTCCATGATTATTAGATGAACAGCCATTTAAGATTTAGAGAAAGTCATCCTTATTGGTTTATTGGGGCATGCCATTAGCAATGCATAAGGAGAGCAGTGACTGACCTGCGAAGCAGG